GGGCCACCCCTCCGGCTCCGGCTCCAGCCCCACCGCCAAGCGCCTCACGCGCCGCCGCAAACCGTCGCAAACAGCGTGCCGCGCTGCGCGTGCGCCGGGAGCGCCTGCCGTAAAGCGAGGCGGGGAAGATGGCGGCGCGGTGGGCCGTCAGCGCGGGTGAGTCTGAGGGGAGCCCTGGTTTTGAGGGCTCTCGCCTGCTTTTTTTTTTTTTTAATTTTTATTTCCCTCCCCGCCCTTCCTTGCTCACTGTGGTGCTTCCTTGCAGGCAGAGCCTGGATGTGCGGCCTCCTTGGCTGGGCGCGCCCGGAGAGGTGAGTCCGGCTCTGCCGTGCTCCCGGGGGGGGGCGGGGCGTCTCGCTCAGGCGGTCTCCGGGTCTCTCTCCGACTCTCCGAGTCGCCTGGCTCGGCCTTCTTGCCCTGCCGCGGAGCTGTGGGGAACAGGTCGCTTAGTGCCTCCGTCTTTCTGTGTACTTAGAGATCGTGGCATGATGGAGGTGTCTCTCCTTCTTTCCTGATCCCCTTCTGTCGGGCATCCGTGTTTCCTCTGGGTTTGTGGTGCGGGTCACAGTAACACGGTCCCTGTTCCTCCCCTTTGCGTTCTCCTCAGTCGTTGCTGTTCTGCAGTTGCTGGTCTTTCCTCTCAAAATTGTGCTGGGGAGCGTTGGTCACTGTTGACTGTATCCCTGGCTTTGTAAGAAAGGCCGGTGTGGATCCTGAGAGTGCAGAGCTTTTCTCTCTGCTAGAGCTTGCGGAGGTAAATTGCAGATACCTGTGTCGCTGAAGGGGGAAGAAATACGGCTGTGTTGCCTGTGTTTTGCTCGCTGCCTTGCAGCTGAGCAGGGTTACGTGCCAATTGCTTGTTGTACTTAGTTCTAGTCTGTCTCCCACTTAGTGCTTACATGTGGTTCTTTATGGAAAGGTGCTCAGCTTTTTTCTTTTGTATTCCTCTTACTTACCTGTATATTGCAGCCTTCCAGTACCTAACGGGGGCCTACAGGAAAGCTGGGGAGGGACTTTTTACAAGGGCATGTAGTGATAGGACAAGGGGCAATGGCTTTAAACTGAAAGAGGGGAGATTTAGATTGGATGTAAGGAAGAAATTTTTTACAATGAGGATGGCGAGGCACTGGAACAGGTTTCCCAGAGAAGTTGTAGATGCCCCATCCCTGGCAAGTGTTCAAGGCCAGGTTGGATGAGGCTTTGGGCAACCTGGTGTAGTGGAGTGTGTCTCTGCCCATGGCAGGGGGTTGGAACTAGATGATCTTTGAGGTCCCTTCCAACCCAAGCCATTCTAGGATTCTATATAATGTATGTTTGCTTGTTGCTGGTCACTGTTTTCTTTTTCTTACAATGTATTTGTGTTGTGTTTCTTTTCCTAAAGTTAAAATGAACAGAGTTGCTCCTCACATGAGTCTGGATTATGTTAAGATAGAGGGAATATAAAATTCCTTAGTTTGTCAAATGTGTTAATGTGTTCTGCTAATACCAAGGAGACAACCCTTAATTCATGGCTGCTTAAGTTGTTTAATTGCAAAATTATACTCATGTGCTTGTCAAATGTTTTCCATATTGATGACGTTATATCTGGTGATGATGAATTGTTGTCTTGATGAGTAAAATTTTTAAGTATTAAGCAACTAAACCAGTTTTGGTAAATATCTGAAAAAACATTCCATAATACTTAAATTTGTGTTATGCTACCCTCTACTGATAGGAAGTGAAAACTTTAAGATGTACAATGCTCTCTTGAAACTAACCAGTGTATTCTGTTTGCCAGTCACTTTTAAAACATTTTCCATACTTTGGCTACCCACACAAAGCTGTCTGAGCCTCAGTAGAACTCACAATACGTGGTCTTGAACTCACTTGTTTCTTGTAGCTGAGAGGCTGCCTAGTACTGCTTTATCTAGTCAGCAGGGGGCAAAATGTAGCTTGGTTTTGCTGAATCTGAGGTGAATGAACTGACTGAAAACTAGAGGGTTTTTTGCTGTCGCTTGTCTTATATTGACCTGCTTGCATTTCAAAAGTTGTTTAGAATATCTTCCCCTTCAAATATCAGAAAGGACGAATGTTTATAAACTTCTAATACTCTTTCGGTACTCAAACCCTTGAAAAACTAGAAATTTTTACTGCTAAAAATGTTGTTGATAAGAGTTAAATAAGTATTGGCTAGTCTTGGATAAAATATAACTTGTTTGTGTGAGTAATGAGCTCCATGTAAGAGCAAAGAGGAAACTGTGTCTTTGCATATCCCAAGATAGTCACACAATGTGGCACCTCTTGCTATACAAAGGTGACATGGCTTTAGGAAGCCTGAGGCTTCTTGTTGAATTATAGAGCTTTCCATATAAACCGTAGAAGACTTGAAGAGTTTTATTTTGTCATCAGTCACAGGTGTCAGTTCTCTTTAGCAGACAGGTAAGTTCACAATTTTCCAGATAAACCGGGCAGGAGCAAAGACTGTGGTCTTGTCTTGCAGGTGGCTAGCACCCAGCAGCCTTTTCCCTCTGTCATGTCTCCACACAAGCACAGCTCTGCAGAAACTTGGGAAGTGGGAGAAAAAGAACAGGATTGTTTACCCTCCGCAGCTGCCAGGAGAACCTCGCAGACCAGCTGTAAGGATACACCTGTAAATTTCCTTACCTGCTCACGTTTAGCAATTTCTGAACAGATTGTCTCCAGGTGACTCTGCAAGGCACTAGTTTGACAGCTTATTCGTTTGTTATTTAAGATTTTAGTCAGTTTGGCGTGTTTGTATTGTAAAAGTTAATATCACTTTGAATGTTTTTGATTTCTAAATTTTATTGAAGCTTCAAGCTGCTTGTACCTGATCACCTACCTAATGCATGATGTGAGCTGCAAAGGTACCATCCTCTGTAGAAGTCTCTGAACCACAAGGAAGTAGAACTTACCAGGGATGTACAATTATACGCTTGTTCTGTTTGTACTGACAGTAAATAACTAGAGAAGAACGTGATTGTATTGTTGCTTCTGTGCACAAAGATGTAAATGTAACTTTCCTTGAGTAGTGGAACTAGTGGTGCCTGTTTGATGTAGGCACAATAGAGTGCACGCTCGTTTAATTTCTTAATTTCTCTGTGTTCTAGATTCTCTGAGGCCTGATAGTGTGTTACCTCTTGCTGTGGCCTCCCCCTAATGAAGCTTCAGAGCTTGTTTTCTGTTACAGTGGTTGCTTGACATGCTTAATATTGTCTGAGAGGTTCTAAAGTTACGTGGGGAGAGACATGTGAGTCAGATGTGACATATGGTTGCAGGAGGTTTTTTTTCTGAGGAAACCATATTACACGGTACAGTGGGATTGTTTCTTCGGTCTGTTGCACAATAACTTGTGTTTTACGAAACCATAAACTGAAGCAAAGGATCTAAAACCCTTTTGTTACGTGTTTGCTCAGTGAAGGGCCTTCTGCTGGCTGCTCAAGACAGCTTTTGGAAAGGTCACCATAAGTAGCGTGGTCAATTTTTCAAATGTAGTCATAGCTGTTTCTCCCTGTCCCCTGTTACTGATCGTTGTATAACTGGGAAGTGCAGTTAAATGTGAACAGAAGCAAGCCTCTTAAGTCCCACATGAAAACTGAGTGTTGGGTATTTGATCGCTGAAGGGACTAACAGTTTTCTTCAGTATTTCCTCCTTGAGAAATGGTATTTTGGAATTCCATTTTTGTAATTGTTCTTCACTGGGCATTAATATGTTGTGGCCTCTGTTAGGCATACTGCTCAGCAAAGTCAAGTATTTGCATCTCAAAATAACATGTTGGTTTTTTTTTGACTTGTGCTTTTGTGGGCTGTGAGCATTTATCACCTCTGTGAACATTATGGCCCAGGACACAGAAATACATGCTGTGTGCTATACTGACTAGTGCAACGTGTATGAAAATGCTGTTATTGACCAACTTGCTTGTTAAATCATTTTTCACCTGTTCATAAAGAATGCTGTCTCTTCCAGATTTGTATTGATGCTAAATTTTATGAGCTAGTTTTGGTCCCTGTTGGTACCGTGGTAGTGTTAAATGGGTCTGTAGAGACAGCTCTTCATGCCGATCAAACTTTAAACTGTCTTCACTGTTGAAGAGCTAATTAAGTTGTTGTTGTTTAGTTGCTATCCCAGTAAGTCCACTTGACAGCAGAGTAATGTTTTTAAGACTGAATGGGCATGTCAGTCAGGCTGCTTCAAAAGGTGGGAAGAAGAAAAGGAAAAGATGATGAGAAATCTGATCATCCTTTTCAGGGATTTCTGTTTATAAACTCTCATAAGATTGTATTAAAATTTTCTGTGTGATAGCTACTTATTTTTATAATGCTTTCAGTTTCAAATGTCAAAGATACGCTTGCTCTGATATGTTGATGGTATAGCAGGGGGAGTCACGCTTACTCCTAGTAAGAATGCAGATTGTGGAGCAGGCATGTATGCACTGTTCTTGTTTTCGCAGCAAAATTACTGATCTTCTAACTTTTTTTTTCCCTTAGGAAATATATCACTGTCGGAGGGAAATTAAATATAGCAAAGATAAGATGTGGTATCTGGCAAAACTGGTAAGCAAAAAAATACTTTGCGCTGTATTTGTTAGAACACAAAATTTAATTGCTGTATTTGCTGTAGCAGCCTAGTTCAATCACAGTCTGATCAGCATCTTCACGATAGAGTCCAGGGGAAGAGCCTGCATCTGTGCAAGCAAACAGTTGTTTGTAGTTTGGTTTTGGTTTAGCTGCCTTATCCCAGCATGCTCTCAAATGTGTACTCAGGATCACATGCAGATTATGCACTGTGGAAGAATTTCCGTGTTGGTTTCTGCCTAGTAGTGGATGGCAAGGGGAACTTGGAAGGCTAGTAATGGACTGTTTTGATAAAAATAATCAATTTTTTTTCTTAAAGATTTATTTAATATTTAGCTCAAGTTTTGTATGTAAGATATTACATTGAAGAAATGGTCATTAAGGAAACTGAAGTATTTCGATTTGCTCTTTATAATGAAAAAATAATTTAAATTCTGTCTTCTGAATGAGAGAAGGGAAATGCTTGTAATAACAGAAGTTAACTTGAACGCTTTGATTGCAGATAAAAGGAATGTCCATCGATCAGGCTCTTGCTCAGCTGGAATTTAGTGATAAAAAGGGAGCAAAGGTGATCAAAGAGGTACGTAGTAGTATTCTTTAAAACTCTAGTTTCAAGAAAACTTTAAAATCAATGTCGGCAGAAGTTTGGGTATGTTTCTGTGTTTTTTCTACGTTTCTATTTGGAGCACCTTCAAACAACATATTTTTGTAGCAGTCATGTCATGTTGTGACTTGTGAATACGCAGAGGTCACTTGTGCTGGCTGTTTTAACTTGTAATGTGACAATCAGTTACATGGGGGTACCCTCTCTAGCAGTGCTTGGTGTTCAGTTCATGGTAGATAATGCAGAGTCCTTGTCACTAACAGCTGCTGCATCCGTGTGCTTTTGTTCTTAAAGTCATGAGATGAAGGCTATCATCAGGGAATGGACTGAGCTGTGTGAAGGCGTGACAGTTTTTTGTACACATTAGTTGTTAGGAGTCTCTAATTACACATTTCCTTGCCCAAAGCATTGATTCCTGGCATAATAATGACAAAGAACTATCATATATTAGCTGAAAATACTGAATGGCCTAAGTTCATTTTGCCCACCTTGGAGTTTGTTTCTGGTCTGATGTCTTATTAGACAAAGGGCCGTAGATGGAAGGCTGACAAATGCTGGTGGGAAAAATCTTTTTCCACTCCCTTTCCTCTCCCAAAAATGTGGTAAAGATGTCCTGTAGCTTTTCAGTCTGTATGCGAAGATCATGCATATGTAAAGATGTCTGTCTTGTAACAGTTTTGATCTCTATAGAACACTTTTCTATAGCGATTTCTTCACGTTCTCTAGAAATAAGAAGTAGCATTGCCTGAATTCCTACTCAGTATTTCCATTTCTTCTCCTTTTGTTACAGGTTCTGTTAGAAGCTCAGGAATTGGCAGTAAGAAATCACAACGTGGAGTTCAAATCAAATTTACATATAGGTACATTTTTTTTATTTATTTTGTGCAGAAAAATGTCATCCTACTCTATGAAAAGGTTTTATCCTTATTAAGGTTTTATTCCATCAAATCAGCTGCAACGAGAAAAGTACAGTTTCTAGGAAACTTAAAGGAATGTGCTTTGCAGCATAACTGAAGTCAGTGTGGTTGTTGAGCCTTCAGCCATTGTTTCATTATAATTGGTGTCTGACTGGTGTTCTTCTGGCACCTGCATTGTTTTTAAGATGCATTCATCTGAGAATGGAGTTTCTGCTCCTTATGTGAAAAGAGAACGTCGCAGAGGGGAAGATGCCTGACACGATTAGGAAAGACTAGACAACAAAGAGCAAACTGTTACTACTTTTTCATGTTGTGAACACAGATGCTGGAAGCTTTGTCCATGGCTGATGCTACTAACTTTGCAGGATTGGAATCTGAACTTCTGTTAGAAACAGTATAAAAGTAAATGAATATTGACAGTAGACTTTTTAAAAAAGGAACCTGGATTGTAGAGCAGGTTTGATTAGGATTCCTTGGAGCCTTCTAGGCCTTTGCCATCAGAAGGTTTATCTGCTAGTGAGGACTGGATGTGTAGATAATGAAAGTACCAACGATGAATGCAAGGAAGGGAGAAAGGAAGGAAAATGAAATCTGTAAGACTTCTACAGGAATTCGTGACACAAACTACTGAAAAGCAGCAGAATTAATACCACCTTCAGAAGAGCTGTATAATCTAGCTCAGTGTAGCTTCCTTTGGATTTGTCCTTTACTATATATTTATCTTTGTGTGCACGCTTTCTAAGTTCACCTTTTTGTTGCTCTTGAAGGGCATTAATTCAACTCACGAGTTCATCTAGAGCAGTAACCTGCTAAGTGTAGTTGAAGATAGATGGAGGAGAGAATCCTGAAGAGAATTAACTTTTCATATGCAGTCCTGAAAAATACACCAACAAGACAGTGTTTCAGTTGCAGATGTGCAGTAGTTTATTCTTGACTGAATAGTCTTCTCTCCCACCCCCTACCCCTCTGCCTTTTTCCTTCAGCTGAGTCAACGACGGGCAGAGGCCGCTATGTGAAGCGGATTCGTTACCATGGCAAAGGCATGTTTGGCATCATGAACATCGTCAGGTGCCATTACTTTGTGAAGTTGGTGGAAGGTCCTCCTCCCCCTCCAGAGCCACCAAGGACTGGTTTTGACCAAGCGAAAGAATACGTGCAGCAGCTGCGAAGTAGAACCCTTGTAAATACACTGTGACAAACTTTTGTGACCATATAGGTATTTCTTGTTTGACAATGTAATCATATAAAAGAATAATTAAAATCATGTCTCAGTTATATCTTTGGTGCTGCTGGAGCTGGATGATGCAAAAATGATCATAGGCTTTTTTCTTACTCATCAAGCCATAGATGTGGAAGAATTTTGGAAAAGCAGCAAGAGGTGTTATTTGGACAGCAGCACTGAAGCTCTACCCTGGACTATCAAATGTAGAACATATAGTGCAGTTATAAATCTTGTAAGGACCCGTGGTTGTCCTGAAATTCATGCAGCTGTCTGCCATGTGTGGTTGGGTCTTTTATTGTAAAAATACGTGCTTGACGGTTGTGTTGCAAGATAAAGACTTGGACTGAAATTACTAAACTTTGACATCTTAAAGTAACTACAACAGTGGAACAAAACAAGCAGCAGTAATAGCCGAGATCATCAGGCATCAGTTTATGGTTTCTTTATCTGGGCCATAATGCTCTTTCCTTACAGCCTCCGTCGTGCATCTTGGGCATTGCTTCTGGGAGTGAGGAATAAAAATACCATTTAAAGGTCAGCTTTTGGCAGAGTCGATAGGTGGCAATGTTTTGTTGTCAGAGAGGGAAGCGGCAGTGAAAACTTAGAGCAGGGTGAAACTGTTCTTGATTCTGGCTGTGGCATTAATAGTCAGATATGTGCACGGAGTTCAGGCTGTTCTCTGTGGAAACTCAGTATGAGTAGCAGGCACAATATAGGGAAAAGCCTGTCGTGGTGAAGAGAGAACTAATTATTCTGCACTGTCTGGAAACAAACTGCTTTTGTAATGTTGAGGCAAGTAAAATGCTCATTGGATTTAATATGGAATGGCTTGTTGCATATACAAATCAGGCTTTCAGTTCTCTGAAAACAGTCTCATTTTTATCATTAGTTTGAAAAGACTGAGGTCAGTAGGGGGAATCTCATTTCACCCAGTCAAGCTTTCAACTCAGATGGCCAGAAATCATGAACATCAGTATAAAGAGAATAGTTGCTGCTTGTTTATGAGAACGTCTGATATTTAGACCTTTCTTTTCCATTCTGGGAACATTAAGGTGGGAGACAGATTGTTTACCTTATTGAGTCTTTTTACCACACCAACAGTGGTAACATTTTACATGTGTTTACTTTAATCAGTACTTGGATGATGGCAAAGGGACAGTTCCTGTAAGGAAACAAGTTATCTCTGTCTTAATGAAGGTGTCATACAGCTGTTTCTTTTGGCTACCAAAGAAAGGGTCACATCATCTTAGAGTGTTAGGGAATTGAAGTTACCCAAGAAGTACCTGCATTGCTCAGTACCATTAATGGATGCTTATTTGCAGTCTCTTTTTCTGCAGTGCACTTAGACACATTACTTGCTTTAAAGCCACAATGTAGTAACTTTTGTCTGAAAGGTATGTACCTGATAAAACTCTCGATCTGTAGTCCCTGATACGTGTTTGAAGAACTGTTTCTGGTGTGCTATGATAAACAGCTGTGCTGGGCTTTGCCAGCTACTGTTGAACTCTCTTGTCATACTGAATCTCTTACAAGTCATAGCAAACTTGAATGACTTAATGTTTTTGAGAGTCAGTGATCTGGGAGAAGACTAAGGAATTGCAAAATACTCCAAGCTTAATAAGCACTTGTCATCTAAGCATGTAAAACCTGTCTTCCAGATATTTTATTCCAGAACCTGTTTCTCCTGCATGCTGTAGACTTCCCTTTGGATCCCTTGTGGACCTCCAGACAAGGTTGTATCCTTACAGATAGCATTGCTCCTAGCTATGAATCTGCAAACTTGGAGAGAAGTAAGGATGTGACTGATGTCTTTTCCAGCTTCTTTATAATGCAGCGGGTGTCCCTGACACTCCTTTAAATAGACAGACCTGGGCTTTTAAAATTTTTCAGTCGAAAAGCAAGGTGTTACTTGTCATTCTTGTTTTCTTTCTCAAAACAATAAGTGGGAAGACTTCTTTTTTGACATGTTTTTCAGCATTCTTCTTATTCTTTAGTACCCTTTTCTGCCTTCTTAAAGATGTGTAACTTATAGTGGATCCTGATGGTGTTGGCTAAGGAAGCTCCACAGCTGTCGCTGTAACAGTACTTAATGGTGGGAGATTTGGTGAGATGAGGGGCTTGAACTGGCTTGAGCTGTGCCTTTCACTGGTGGGATGGTAAGAGTGTCTGAAGTGGTTTTTGTCATAGATACATCAGAACATTGGTATGGAAACGTGCATGAACCTTCTTAAAATTCAGTAAGATCTACTGATAAAGCTTTATACTGTCAAGTTCTATATATAAATAAAATTTGGGGGTTTTCATTCTACAGTACTTTCGTGGTAATTAGTACATCTACACTTCAGTTAGATGTTTGATATGGATTCAGACAGAAAATTCCATGTGACTGCAACAAGTCCTTAGCAGAAGATGATAATTTATTGCTGTGACTGCCAATAAAAGAACATTCTTAACTGTGCCATCACCAGAAGGGAGAGGCACCCAGGCCTCTACTTGATGCTTATTTTATTAGTAACGTCTGGGGGCACTGTAAACTCACCACTTGTGTACGTATGTGCTGATGCTACAGAAACTGGAAAAGGAACAAGTATGCGTGAAGGTGTAGTAAGGCTTCAGGGAAGTCTGAAGAGAGCAGAACTGTGAGCTGTGCTCAGCAATGCGAGATTTAATTGAAGAAAACTTAAAAACCTGCTGTTGGGCTTGTCCATAAACATTTTAAAGTATCCATTAAGAAAGTAGAACTACTGTCAGACAGCCTGATGTCTTTTTGGATGTGGTTTGTTTTGTTTTTTTTTTTTTCCTTTTTAAAACTCCTGGGCAGTTATTGAGGAGGTAGCTCATCAAAGGTAGAGTTAGGAAAGACACATGAGTATATATAAAGTGATCATCAGCCTCTTTAAAAACATGGAACATAACTGTCCAATCATTGTCTATCACACTTAGGGACCTCTGATTCTGGTCAGGTCTGTACTGGAAATTGCTGTTGTGAGGTGGACTACGTTAGGGCTCGGATGGTGCCTGGGCACAGACAGTCATGTTCTGCCTGATCGTTCAGCTGTGTTGCTGTACCTGACATGAACTTGACTAGACCAAGGTCACGCGGCGGAAATCTGCCCAAATGGGAGGCGTGTAACAGTACTGCCACCTCCACATTCCAGAGATGCTTGGGACATCCTTCAGTCACTGGAGTGAAGGAACCATGGGAATCACTGTTTGCTTTCTGCCAGTCCCTGTGAAAATCCACCAGTGGGATGCTGGAAAGTCAATTGCAAACAGAAATCTCCTTTAAATAGAAATAAGGTTACTCCTAATAGTCCAATAAACCATAGAAACAAAGTGACATTCTTCACCATATGAGCTGTAGTCCTACTGGAAATGCCCCTATTTCTAGCGTTTCAAAGAACAAGCCTCTATTGCTGAATGGCATCCATCCAGCTGCGCTTCAGGCATGTAATTCAAAATAATTACTAATTAAACAAAATAAGAGACACTAATAGCAATAATAATCACACAAGTTACTGTTTGCTGCAGCTTTACCTAGGGAAAATAACTTGAATGGAGGGGAAAGTTTCAGGAACTGACTTTTGAGTACTTAGACTGAAGTAAGGAACAAGATATCTCCTCAGAGTAGTCAGCAAACACAGAGCTAATTTATTATTTGCTCTATAACATCAACACTTTCTTCTTGTTTCAAGGAAGTTGTACACTAATACAGAGGGCAGACTGCCATTGAAGAGAACGAGCCAAGGAGAGCGTAACTTTACACTGTGCAAATTAGGCATCCACCTCATTTTTCTTGAAGCTAAAGACAAAACATGGGGTTTATCTGAATAACTACTGCATCTGTGGTGCTACTTCTCTGTATTGCACAGTAGTACAGCTATCAAGATTTGTGTGGTAAAGTGAATTTTGTGATATATAAACCTAGATTAATTCCCTTTTTCTTTCCTCCAGAAATAATGAAATGGAGGCTTAAACCATATTTGCATTCCTGTGAGATCTGTATTTTAAATTAGCTTGAAGGTGGGACCGTTGTCAACACTGCGTCAAGTCAGCTGTGTCTTTGTCTAACAATGCTGGAAATCTAGCCACCTCTCTGGTAGCCTGTGCCAATGCTGTGCTACTCTCTCGGCAAAAACTTCTTGCAAAGGCAGCCTGGATGTCCCAAGCTGTACTCTGTTGTCCTTGTCCTTTGTTCTATTTCTTGGTGCTGCTGAGAAGTGGTTGACTCTGTCACATTGTAACTCTTCTGTTAATCAGATCACCCTGCTAACCACCTTTTAGGCAGGATGAGTAAGCCCAGCTTCAACCTCTCATAAATCTAGCCCTTGTGCTGTACCCCCTCCAGTTTCCTCATCTCTGTTGCAGTGGGGGACCTACAGCCAGGCTCCGTGTCCCAGGTACAGCTTCACCAGCGCTGATGAGGAGGAGATGGCTTCCCTCAGTCTGCTGGCGACGCTTTTAATTGAGGCAAGTATGCAGTTTGCTGTGTCTGTGATGATGAGAGCGTGTTGTTACCTCACATTCAGCCTGATGTTCATGCAACTCCCAGGTCCTTTTTAGGTCGCTCATCAGAACAGCAGTAAGTACCTGTGGCACCTGTGTTCCAGCTCTCATTACCTTTCTGTGCACACTAATGAGGACTCCTTTACCACTAGGAAATTGCTCTGTTATGTGGATGATAATTTTCTTTCCTAATAGAAAAGTTGCAAAACAGTTTTCTGGCTTCTGTCATTAGTCAAACTCTTAGGCTAGCTAAGAGTGGAGTAATGGCATTTGTACATGCTGTTGTGGTAAACTCCATCAACGTATGCAAGTAATAAGCAGTAAAATGTGTCTACATCTCTCCTATTGATTATCTCCTTCAGAGCAAGACAAACATAAGTCCTTACTGTATGCTGGCCGTGTAAATTAAAACTTTAATTAAATGAAAGCAGAGTGGACTGTGAGGTACACTGCACTGGGCCATTAAAGGATTGCTGTTCAAAACCAGCTCTTCTAGATGCCCCTGATTCCTTGCCTTCTTTTTTCCCCCACTTAAAATTCCCAATAGTG